CCAGCAACATGCCCAGGCAGGCTTCCGCATCCTGACCAGTGACGGCGGTAACGTGAGATGTTGCTATTAGGGGAGACTGCTGACAGCTCTGCGGGAACTCTCTGCACTGTCTTTGCAACTTCTCAGTAAATTAAAATTATCCCCAAATAAACATCTATCTTAAAAAAGGAAAAAAAAATCGACCCAAGAACTAAAGGGCAGAACAGTTTAGAATAGATTACCATTTGTGTGTGGGGGAAAGGGATATCCCCCTTCTGCATTTGTGTAAACATGCACATTTGAACATACACAAAATATCTGCAGAAAGACACAGAGTGAGCGGTCTCCGGGGCTGCCTCTGGGCAGAGCGCTTGGCGCGAGGGAGACCGAGTGTTCACCATAACCCTTTGCATTGTTTGACTTAAAAAAAAATCATGTTTATATTTAAATTTTTAAAAAATTATTTTTATTATTATTTTTTCCTAGAAAGTAAAACATGGAAAAAAATAACATCAACATCCTCAGGTCTTAAGGCAGAAGGACAGTAGGGCAGGGGCTTTAAAATCCCCCACGCTCAGGTCTCCTTTTTTTTTTTGATGAAGATTAGCCCCGAGGTAAATATCTGCTGCCAATCCTACTCTTTTCGCTGAGGAAGACTGGCCCTGAGCTAACATCCGTGCCTATCTTCCTCTACTTTATATGTGGAATGCCTGCCACAGCATGGCTTGCCAAGGGATGCCATGTCCACACCCGGGATCCGAACCGGTGAACCCGGGGCCGCCGAAGCGGAATGTGCGCACTTAACTGCTGCGCCACCAGGCCAGCCCCCAGGTCTCCTTTGATGAGAGAAAATTTTAACCAAAATGCCTCAGTAAGTTTTTGCTGTTGTCCAGTTCTCCAGCTGTATGCAATTGACTGCCTTCTTACACATTTTTGAGGGAGGAAATTCAAATCTCACCCTTAACTGAGTCCAGTTCTGGGGTCCTTGGGCAGGTATGCTGCATGGTGCATGGGTGCACGCCTGCGTGTGTGTGTGTGTGTGTGTGAGTGTGCATGCGTATACATAACCATCCTCAGCTGCCATGTCCGCCTGCTGGAGCAGGTCCATCTCTCCGGCTATTCTGTCTGCCTTTTGTCTCCCTGGGCTCACTGGGCCAACAGTTCCAGGAGCTGGGGCTGGCGCCTGACCTCTCACGTGTGGACCTGGGGAGGGGCAGGCAGAGGCATTGACAGAGTGCACCGGTGTGACTACTCCACTGATTGTGTTCTAGATATTTACTGTTATTTTCTGCTTTATTCCATCAATTACTAAGTGAGCCATGTTAAAATCTCCCACTATGATAGTGGATGTATTTCTCTTTTAATTTCTGCCCACTCTTTAAATTATTATATTAAGGGCTGGCCTCATGGCCTAGTGGTTAAGTTTAGTGCACTCTACTTGGGTGGCCCAGCTCTGTGGGTTCAGATCCCAGGTACAGACCTACACCACTCACCGGTGGCCACACTGTGGTGGTGACCCACATACAAAATAGAAGAAGACTGCCACAGATGGTAGCTCAGAGTGAATCTTCCTCAGCAAAAGAAAAAAATAAAGAAAAGAAAAGAAAGAAAGAAAAATAAACAAATACTTATATTTAAAGTGCACAACTTGGTGGTTTTTAATATATTCACAAAGTTATGCAACCATCACCACTATGTTTTCATCACTCCAAAAAGAAACCTTGTACCCAGAGGCAGTCACTCCCTTTCCCAACCTCTCTCTAGCCTTTGGCAACCACTAATCTACTTTCTATCTTTATAGATTTGCCTCTTCTGGACATATTTCTGTTCACTTGAGCTTTATATATTTTGAGGCTAAATTACTAGGTATGTACAAATTGAAAACAATTATAATTTCCTGGTAAATCACTCTTTATCATTAAAGAGTAACTTTCTTTATCCACAGTAATGCTTTTGCCTTAAGTCTGTTTTGTCCCACAATCGTCTAGTTACACCAGCTTTCTTTTGGTTGGTGTTTGCGAGGTGTCTCTTTTCCCAGTCTTTTACTTTCAATCTTTATAAGAGATGTCTCATAAACAACATATATTTGAATTTTAAAAATTCTTTCTGATAATCTCTGTCTTTTATTTAGAACTTTTAGTGCATTTACATTTAATATAACCTCTGTCATAACTGTTTGAATCTCTCATCCTATCATCTACCCCTCCTGTGCTCTCTGTTTCTTACACTCGCTCTGTTTGGTCTTCTCGTCCTTCTTGCCTTCATCTGAGGGACTCAGTGTGTACTATTATGATGCTGTGATATTGTGATATAATAAGAAATATATATTTGGTCTTTGACCCCAGTTCTTGGCACAAGAGCTCCTAAAACCCTTGTAATTTCCTGAGTGATAGGGGTGAGAGGAGTGTCTTTTGTTATTGATAACAAGCCCCTTTTGACGATGTCTCAGTTTATGTTAATGAGGTGTCTCTTGGTGGGCCCCTAGACAGCTTCGGGATGGGGGCATTGGCAGGAAGACCGAGGCATGATTAGAGTCGGAACTGTCAACCCTACCCCCTGACCTCTGGAGAGGGGAAAGGAGCTGGGAATTGAGCTAATCACCAATGGCCAACGATTTAAGCAATCATGCCTACATAATGAACATCCATTAATCCCTAAACAATGGGATTTGGAGAGCTTCTGGGTTGGAGGGTGACACACCCCAATTCCATTGGGACAGAGCTCCTGCGCTTGGGACTCTTCCAGACCTCGCTCTATGTACCTTTTCATCTGTCTCCTTTCTAATATCCTTTGTATCCTTTATAAACCGGTAATAGCAGGCAAAGTGTTTCTCTGAGTTCGTGAGCCGTTCCTACAAACTACTGAACCTCAGGAGGGAGTTGTGGGAACCCCCAACTTTGTAAGCAAGTCGGACAGGAGAGTGGGTTTCCTGAAGACCGGCTACTTACACCTGGCCTCTGATGTGGGGCAGTCTGGTGGGCCTGAGCCCCTAACCTGTGGGGTCAGAATTGAATTAAACTGTAGGACGCACAGTTGGTGTCTGGGGAGTTGGAAAACTGGTTGGTGTGGGGGAAAACCCACACACGTTTGGTGTCAGAAGTACTGTGAGTAGAAAAACAGTTTCCTTTAGCCACGCACTTCTGCCCCTGCCCCTTTGGCACTGCAGGAGGGAGATTCAGGCCCTCACATGTGCCTCTCCGCCTCCAACCTGACACAGTCCAGAGCGCCAGGCACAGAGTGACAAACAAGCTTACAAAGGGTGACAGAACGAACAGCCCTCTGTCTGGAACTGTAAGCGCCGGGGCACTGGAATATCAGTGGCCCCATCCCTGGGGCTGGGCATGATTCCCACCTCCTTGTCAGACTGCACCACATGTCTCTGGGAGCCCCCAATCAAGGGGTCCCAGAGAAATATAAGCCTTCCTTCATGGGGCTGATTTCAGCAGACCTGAGTTCTAGTCCTGACTCTGCCACTAACTTGCTGTGTGACCTTGGGCAAATCACCGCCCCTCTCTCAGCCTAAGTTTTCCTCATCCACTCAATAAGGAGGTTGGACTAGATAACAAGAACTCACAGTAATAATAGCTAGCACTTGCTGAGTGCACGTACCAGGTACTATTCTAAGCAGTGTACACGTATTAATACATTTAACCCTCACCACAACCTTAGGAGGGAGATATGTTTATTTCTCCCATTTTTACATGGGGAGCAACTCAGGCACACAGAGGTCAAGTGGCTTGATCAGGGCCACTCAGGAGGGAAGACCTGGGATTAGCATTCAAACGTGGGCAGTCTGGCTCTGAAGCCACTGCTCATAACCACCAAGACTTTTGCTTTCACTGCAATAATTACATCTCAACAAGGGAAACCCAAGGAAAAGAGAATTCCAGCACCTGGATCAAACACTTCCTTTTTTCTGGGTCCCTACAGTCCTTATCAGTGCGCTACTTTATTCTCACACAGTTGTAACCACAAGTTCTGAACTTCCCCAGGCCCCAACAAAAGTCCATCGCCCACCCCATCCAACACGAGGAGGGGCTGGTGTGGGACCACAAGGAGCTCTCCCAGACTGAAGAGACGGGGATGAGATTCCCTGGGGTGAGCCACAAGAGGCAGCCTACGACTGGGAAGGGGATCGCGGGGGAGAGCAGAGCCAATGCAGCCCAGGGTGCCCAGACCAGATCCCTCTCTCTGTCTTTGCTTCCCCAGCACCAGCAGTGGGCCTGGAGTGAAGGTTCTAGATCACCATTGGTAAGATGAATGACCACTGAGGGGCTCCAGCGCCATTCAGACCTGCGTCACCATCCTGGCTTGCTCATTGCCACATGTGTCCCTGTGACGAGTATCTCAAATCTCTTCCCAGCACACCTGGATACCATCCAGACCTTGGCCTCTAAGGGACTATGTGATCTGACCCCTGCTGACCCCTCTGACCTCATCTGAATCCACCCTTGGCCTCGATCACCTTCTGTGACACTGGCCTTCTTGGTTTTCCATAAACAGACATGCCCCAGGGCCTTTGCTTCCCCCCAAGCTATCTGCACGGCTCACTCTGCCACTTTATTAGGGCCCAAACGTCACCTCGTCAGAGGCCTTTACTGGATCTAGAGAAGCCCCCCACCAAGTCACCTTTATCACGGCCCCCTGTTTTAGTTCTTCCATAGCACTCGTCACCGTTTGGAACTGCCATCTACTCGTTTGTTTACATCTATATCACCTATCTCGTCCACACTAGAACATAAGCTTCATGAGGGCAGGGTCTTTGTCTTGTCCAACGTGCATGCCCACTGCCTAGAAAAGAGCCTAGAACAGTGAGGAATCTGTACCAATTTGTTGAATGCACCTCTCAGTTTCAGCATCTGTAAATGAGGCTAAACAATGTCTCTCAGGCAGAGTGACAGTGACAAGGGGGGACGAAGGCTCTAGCAATTAGAAGCACTGTGACCATTACCGTCACTGACGACGCGGGTGACGCCAGCGGGAACCGCCTGCCCCTGACCTCCCGTGCTGACCCCTCTTACCTTCATGCTTCTGGAACTCCTCCTCGGAGAAGCTGACGTCCTTGTGGGAGAGGTTGGTCATGAGCTGTTTGTTCTCCTCCTGAAGCTGGGCGATCTGGGAAAGCAGGTCCTGTGCCTCCCCTCGCCACACGTCCTCCACCAGCTCCAGCTCCTGCGAAGGCGACGGCAGCGTGGGGTGACAGCGGCTTCACCCCCCAACCCTCGGGAGCCACTCGGGGTCACCGGTGCTCTGGGTCGTCCCCTGCCCCTGAGAACCAGGCCTCGGCAGTGAGCAGACAGGCCACCATGAGCCCACGTGCGACTCTGCGAGAAACAGAAGCGCCCTTCCTCTGGGCAAGGCCTGCGTTTACGCTGTGAGGACCTGGCCGGGTCAGAACCGCCCCAGGGACAACCACGGGGCTGGAACCGCACCTTTAACTACGCAGACGGGGAGAGAGTGCATGAGCAGCCCGGGCTTTGGGAACCCCCAAATTCCCAGCCTCCCGGGAGGTCACGTCCCTGATCTTTCAACAGACCCTCAGTGGGGACAAACCTCTCCCCAAGGGAGAAAGAGGCTGCAAAGACCCCGGGATGCCACCCGGCCCCAGAGTTCTCTGTATGTCTGACACAGGCATCTCTTCAAGCGGTCCTGGGCAACTCACTTTACAACTCTGAGCCTCAGTTTCCCTTCATTGGGGAGCCCAATTATGAAGGCTCACAGGCTTGAGGTGAGGATAGACCTCAACCATCAGTCTATTAAAATTATTTTGAGGAAGGCTGTAATCAGAGAAACAGATAACAAGTGTTGACAAGGATATGATGAAATGGGGGGCATTCCCGGTGAGCATGGAAAACGGGGTGGCCGCTGTGGAAAGCAGGCTGGTGGTTCCTCAATAAGTTAAATGCAGGCACCATACAACCCAGCAATTCCACTCCCAGGATCTGCCCAGGAAACATGAAAACAGGTCTGCACAAAAACGTGTTCACCAGTGTGCAAAGCAGCACTATTCACAACAGCCCAGAGGTAGAAAAAATCCAGAGGTCTATCCACTGACGAACGGGTGAACAAAATGTGGGCCATCCAGACAACAGAATGTTATTCAGACAAAGAGGAATGAAGCACTGACACCTGCTACAACCCGGATGAACCTTGAAAACGTCATGCTAAGCAAAAGCAGCCAGTCACAACAGGCCACATATTACATGATTCCAGCAACGTGAAACATCCAGAATAGGTAAATCCATAGAGACAGGAAGCAGACTGGCGGCTGTCTAGGGCGGAGGGTTGGGGCGGGACTGAGGCGTGACTGTTCAAGGGTATGGGTTTTCTTTCTGGAATAACGAAAATGTTCTAAAATTAACTGTGGTGATGGTTGCACAACTCTGGGAATGTACTAAAAACCGCTGAATTGCACACTTTCATTGGATGAATTGTACAGCATGTGAATTATATTCAATAAAGGTTATCAAAAAAAAAGGTACGCGTAAAACCATAAACTCCACAGCATTATGGCTGCAGCCTGTATGGATGGCGGTTTACAGCGTGGACACTGGAGCCCGTTGACCCGACTTTGAATCCTGTTTCCGCCACTAACGAGCTGATCGTGGACAAGTTATTCAACCTCTGAGTGCCTTGGCAATGAGGAAAATAGTGCAGAACGACCTCTGAGGGTCGTCGTGAGGATGAAAGGGTTAACACATGTCAATGTCTGGAACAGTGCCCAGCACCCAGAATGTGCCACAGACGTGTTTGCTGATTTCTGCTCCTCCTGCAGCCCATCCCGAGGCGGCCCCGGTGGCCGGACGTGCTGCGTCGCCTCTGTTCATCTTTTAAATAAGTCCCTAAATCCCCTCGCCTTTGTCGGGGAGCCTGCTGCGCTGGGGAAATGAGAGGTGACAACTAAGTGTGCGCACAGGGCTTCAAGGTCACCAGGGGAGGTGAAGGGCAGGGCCAGAGGGCGGAAGTGGTGGTGGAAGGATGGAGTGGGCATGTGACCTTCTCAAGCGCAGGCGTGGCCGGAAGCAGAGTCAGGCTCTTCCAGCCCATCCTTCTCTGCTCCCGCCTGGTGCGGGCCAGGCACACGGAGGGCCCCAGCAGGGCTCAGTCATGTGTAACTGGCTGGGGGAGGCAGGACAATGGCCCCCAAAGACGTGCACATCCAAATCCCTAATTTGACTTCACATGGCAAAAGGGACTTTGCAGATGCGATCCAGCTAAGGACGCTGAGATGGAGAGACTCTCCTGGGTCATCCGGGTGGGCCCAGTGTAATCATAAGGGTCCTTCTAAGTGAAAGAGGGAGGCAGGAGGGTGAGGGTCACAGGCGACATGGCCACACAAGCAGAGGTCAGAGTCCGGGATTTGAAGATGCTACTCTGCTGGCTCCAAAGATGGAGGAAGGGGCCAAAAGCCAAGGAGTGTTGGTGGCCTCCGGAAGCTGGGAAAGGCAAGGAATGGATTCTCCCCAAAAGCTACTAGAAGGAACGAATTTCCTGACACCCTGATTTTAACCCAGTTAAGACCCATTTCTGACTTCTGACCTCCAGAACTTTATCTGGTATTATCTATATTGATATTAATATATTATCCAGTATGATAATAAATTTGCGTTGTTTTGAGCCAGTAAGTTTACGGCAATTTGTTATAGCAGCAACAGGAGATGAATACAGACTTTAACCCTCAGTTCTTTTTTTCTTCTCTCAGTGAACTGAAGTCGATGCTGGGGGAGCTGGTTCTTGCCTCTGAGCTGACCACAGAGAATTTAACCTTGCCTCCATACCAGCTAAAAAGGCTCTTCCAGGAAGTCACCCCTGGTTGATCGCCTTCTTTGCCTTGTCTCAACACTAATAGCCTTCAGACTCCTTACACTGGCCTACAAGGCCCAGCATAACCAGACCCCTGGCCCTCCCTGACCTCATCTCCCACTCCTCCTCCTCACTTGCTCTGCTCTAGCCACACTGGCCTTCTTTGTGTTCCTTGAACACACCAAGCTCATCCCTACCTCAGGGCCTTTGCACTTGCTGTAGCTTCTGCCTAGAATGCCCTTCCTCCAGATCTCTCCATGGCTGGCACCTACACCTCATTCAGATCTCAGTTCAGATGTCACCTCCTCAGGGAAGTCTTCCTGACTGCTCCATCTAACAGATCCCCACCCTGGCCAGTCTCTTTCATATGTCCCTGTTTTATTTTCTTCATGGCACTTATCATAAGGGGAAATTTTTAAAACTTTAAAAAAAAAACTATTCCCTCACACTAGAATTGCACCATTCCACAGAGCAGCCCACAAGCCACGTGTGGCTGCTGAGCACTTGAAATGTGGCTGGTCTGAACGGAAACACGCAGGAAAGGTTAAATATGCACTGGATTTCTGAAGACGTAGGAAAAAAGAATGAAAAATATCTCAATAAATTTTTTTGTAACTATGTGTAGTGATGGATGTTAACTAAACTTACTGCGGCAATCGTTTCACGATATATACATATATCAAATCATTATGTTGTATACCTAAAATGAATACAATGTTATATGTCAATTATATCCCAAGAAAAAATTTTTACATTGATTACATGTTGAAATATTTTGGATACGCTGATTTTGATACAATATGTTATTAAAATTAACCTTAGCTGGGTCTTTTTATTAATGTGACAAGCCACATTACATTTCTCTGGGACAGCACTGCACTAGAACGTCTGGTCCATGAGGGCAATGACCTCATCTGTGGTCACTGCTGTCTCCCCAGAGCCGAGAACAGTGCCTGGCTCACAGATGCTCAATAAATCAATCTGCTGAATGAATAAATGAATAACATTTACTGTTTGCATTATAGCAACTGTATCTGCACAGCCACCACTTTCTGAAGCCTCTTGGTGTGTTTTTCCTGTCTTCCCAATTACCCAGTGCTGCCCGAGAGGAAGACTGGCATTCCTTTTCTCTGCATTGCCCACGTCACCTACGACACACGTTGCACGCTGTGGCTTGTCGATGGGGTTGCAGACTGAGCAATCAGGTAGAACATGATAAGACTATGGCCTGGGTCTGAGTGATGAGCAGAACTGACTGAATCTGGGGGTCTGCTGGGAGGAGGAGTTGAGGGAAGAGAGGGTGCATGCTTTACTGGAGCCATATTTGTTGAAAGAGAGAGTGAGGAATTAAGGAACGAAGGAAGGAGGGAAAGAACAGAGAATAAGCCCAAGAACATGCTAAGAAGATTTTTGTGGAAATAACACCTTGAAGAGCCTTTGAGACTACAGGGGAAAAAAATCAGAGAAATCTCTTGTTTCTCAAAATACAAAGTAAAGGAGCCTGGGGCTGAGATACAAAAAAAAAAAAAGGATTTTGTCCTCTGATTTCTCAGGGATCCTTAATGTTTACAAACAGCCCTGGCTCTGGACACACTGGGGTTTCCTTCCCGGCTGACAGCATTCCAGAAGCGACAAGTGCAGCTGGCTGAGAGTTCCACCCGACTCCGGGCCTAGTGGCCTCCGATGGCTCCCAGGGGTGCCTCCCAGCCTGGTGGCAGCAGAACTAAAATGCCGGGGGCGGGGACACGAATGCCAGGACTTCCGTGTGACGTGGGCTAAGCCCCCTCGTCCCTGTTAAGAAGAGGCAGCCACGTGAGAGGATGGCAAGGTCCCTTCCTTCCCTGACCCTCTAGGAGAGACGGAGGGATGTGGGGTGGGAGCAGGGGTGCCCGCGATGGGGGTGGGTCCCCAATGTCAGCCTGCAGGCACCTCAGTGAACGTCCCGCAGGCCTAAAAGCAACAGGCAACACCTAGCAGGCCCTCGCAATGGGCCGGGCTCTCTCCTGAGCACTTCACACATATTAACTCTCATTCTCACCACAACCCCACGAGACGGGTACTATTATTACCCCCGTCTTACAGCTGAGGAAACTGAGGCACAGAGAGGCTGGGTGACCTGCCCAAGATCACACAGCCCAGGAGGGGTAGGGTTTGAAACCAGGCTGTCTGGCTCCAAAGTCCCCGCTCCTGGGAAGCTTGACATTAATTATAGGGCTGGGCATTTTCAAGCTCCCAGTGTGATCTTGGAAATGTTGCCTAACTCTTGGGAGCTTGAGTTTCCTTCTGACCCCAGGGCAAAGGGACCTACGAGGACAAACACAGTCAAACCTGGCCAACACTGGCGCTCTTAACCACCCGTGGATCTGCCCTCAGGGTGAGACTGGAGACACAGCCTGGGCCATCTTCCTTGAAAACACATAGACCTCAAAGAACACGATAGGTGATGGCCTGCCAGGGAGGTTCAGAGAGGCCAAGGGTATTTCCTGAGGCCACACAGCAAGCCAGAGCCTGCTCAGGCACTCTGAGCTCCCAAGGAAAGGCGTTTCCTCCCATTCTCAGTCTGAAGGGTCTGACAGGAGCTTCCCTGGGCTGAGGTTACAGCAGGAAACCACACATCTCCCACTTCCTTCTCCTCAGACACCTAGTCTGGACTCCTGGCCCAGTGGGGAAGCCCTGGTTCATGAGCCCAGAGAGATTCTTGTTCGCAAGGCACAGGCTTAGCTCTAACGCTGCCCCAGATCACCCCCTTCCCCAAATCCACACAGGATGGGGAAGAAACGCTGGAATGACTCTCACTGCGGGTGGGACTCTCTCAGCACTAACTCGGCAGGAATCTCTCCCCCTCACTCTGACCCTCGGTTTCTTCATCTGTAAAATGAAGATGATAATTCCTACCTCACATCATTCTCTGAGGATTAAAGATAAAACCAGGGGGAGGCAAACACTTCGGAGTACAGACTAATATCTAGAAGGAACCCTGGGAAGCAACTTGCAAGCAGGAACCCAGAGACTGTGGGTCTAGGAGCTCAGGGGCTGGAGGTCACACCCCCTTTGCTGTGGGGCGTTCCGCGGTGGGTGGGATGAAAAGAGGGGCCTGGTGTCACATCTTCTTGGGTAACACTGAAGGGCAAGGGGCTTCTTTCATTTCCGGAAAATAATATTATCTAAGCACTTTACATATATCATGCCTTTTAATTCTTATAAGGTGGGTCCTAATACTATCACCATTTGACATGTGAGGAAACAAAGCACAGAGAGGTTAAGTAACGTACCCAAGGCCACACAGCTATTAAATAGTAAAGGTAGGATTGGAACTCAGGTATGACTCCAAAGAACTGCCCTTAATCTCTGGGGTGGTATATGCCAGGTGCCCCTGGCTGAGCAAAAGAGGGCCAGGGGTCTCCCTCTCTCCCTCTCTCATCCAGTCGGGTCTCCTCTCGTCTTGTCCCTGTATACACGTATGGGTGCACCTACAGTCGCCCAACGCTGGGGGGCCCTTAGGTCCCGCGGCCCCACTGCCCGGATGGGCAGACTGAGGCCGCTGCCCACCTTCTGGTGCTTGCGCTCCTTCTCGATGCGGTCCATCCTCTCCAGGCGCAGACGGTCCAGCTCGAGGCGCAGCTCGTCCAGCTCGGGCGCGACGTGGTGGCGGCTGACCAGCACCTCCAGGATCTCCAGGACGCGCACGACCTTGGGCATGAGGCGCGCGATGGCCTCGCAGCCGTGCTGATCGATGACCCGCTCGAACTCGTGGCCCACGAGCGACGCGATGTCGTACACGTCCATGACGGTCAGCTCCGCCACGTTCTTCTCCAGCGCCGACTCGGCCCCCGGCGACGACCCCCGGTCCTCCTCCATGGCCCCCCGCCCGGCCTCCCCCGCACCCCGCCAACTAGTGCAACTCCCAAACTTGCCGCTGTCGAGGGCAGCGCCGGGCCGGGCCCACCTTGCGCGCCGCCGGCCGCGCTCAGCTGGCCCTCGGGCGGGGGCGCCCCGGGCGGCCGGCCGGCGTGGGCATGGGCGGAGGCGGCGGCGGCGGCGGCGGGCGGGCGGGCCGGGTCTCGGCGCCCGGCTCGGCCCCGAGCCTGCTCCCAAGTGGGGGGGAGGAGGAGGAGGAGGAGGAGGAGGAGGGGGAGCCGAGGAAGGCGCGCGTGCGCAGGCCCGCGGCGCCTCCCAAGAACTTGGGAATCCGAGTTGGGCGCAATGGAGGCGCGGGGTCTGGCTGGAGAGGGGGCCCCGCCGCCCTCGGAAACAGTCCTCGCCCGAGGGTCGCCCCGCGCCCGGGGCCTGGGAAGGAAGGGCGGCTGCGGCTCCTCCGGGAAACTTTGGCGGCGCCGAGGCCGGGCGAGCCGCTCCCCCCGCGGGGATGCCGCGCGCCCCGCCCCGATCCCGGCCTGGCGAGGGGCGCGCCGCCTGCCGCCGCCCGGGGGCGCCCTGGGTGCCCAGCGGCCCCGCACCCCCGCCCGCCCGGCAGCGCCTCGCTCTCCCCGCCGGACCCTCCTGCTCCGCGGCCGCCGGCGCCCCCTCCCCGGCGCGGTCCTGGCTCCTCCTCTGCGCCTCCCGCCCCGAGCGCTCGCGGCTCGCCCGGGGGACGGGGACGGGGGCGGGGGGCGCTGGCGTCTGGACGATTCGCAGCGGCGGCGGCGGCCCCTGCGTTGGAGAGCAATGGAGGGGGCTTGAGGGGGACTCCGGGATGGGGCCCATCCTGGGGAGGAAGCGAGGAACCCCCCCCCACCATCTCCCGGCCCGCAGACCGCCCCGCCGACCCGGTGACCCGGGGGACCTGGCGGCGCCGGGCCCTGCGCTCCAGTAGAGGCGCCCCGCAGGGGGGCAGCAGGGTCGTGGGGTCCTCTGCTCCCCAGGCCGCCGGGCTGCCCCGCCCGCCGAGCCACGTCAATTAGTGGCTCCTTGTGGCATAAAGGCCACTTCACAGAGAAGGCGAGGCCGGGGTTTGGATCTCAGCATCTCGAATCTTCTTGCCCCAAGTCACCTGTCCTTTTGACAGGGCTGAATCCACTTGCCCATCAGACACCCCCCGCCTGCCCCCAGGAGAGACTTTCCTGAACGCGCACCCCCTCCCCTCTTCTCACCCCCCACGCGTGGGTGAGGGACCCTCCTCTGCGTTCCCGCATAAAATTGCTACCTTCGCCGGTAAAATTGCTCTTAAAAGACTGCGTTTCAGCGGTGTGGTTACACATACACCTCTCCCATCAGCCTGTGAGGTCCTTGAAGGCAGAAAAATCCAACACCCTTGTACTATAAAGCCCACCCCTAGCACGTCTTGATGAAAACTGGAAAAAAAAAAAAAAAGTTAATGTATTGAGCATTTGTGTTATATTTAGTTAAAAATATATATATATATAGTGCTTACTATGTGCCAGGCATTGTTCTAAGTACTTTACAAATATTTCCTCATTTAATCCTTACTCCATCAGTTCTCAAAGTGTGGCCTGTCCACCACTGGGGTGCCCCAATACCCGAAGGGTGGCTCTCAGGTTGTCCTTTTGCCAGATATATATCTGTGAGAGGCAAGTGTTCACGAGCTTAACACAAAAGAGCATGTCACAATAGGATGACTGTGCAGAAGCAGCTTTGAGGCCCATGTGAGGATCCTATAAAGAGCTAGATATTAAAGAGAGCTGCAAAACTATAAAACCATGCCGCTGTCCTCAGTACGTTTTTCGTTTGGGGCATAGAGTCATTTTTTTATTAAAAAATATGTGGAATGTGCCTATTTTTAAATTAATATTTTAAAAAATCATCAGTTTAAATTTCTAGTTATAGGAGATATCCATAGATATAAGCCACGTAACAAAATCTCTTTAGGATCTTCAATAGCTTTATTTTTGAGGAAGATTAGCCCTGAGCTAACTGCTGCCAGTCCTCCTCTTTTTGCTGAGGAAGACTGGCCCTGAGCTAACATCCATGCCCATCCTCCTCTATGTTTTATTTTTTAATATGTGGGATGCCCACCACAGTATGGCGTGCCAAGCGGTGCTATGTCCGTACGGGGATCCGAACTGGCAAACCCCGGGCCGCCGAAGCGGAACATATGCACTTAACCGCTGCGCCACTGGGCTGGCCCAGGATCTTCAATAGTGGGGTTTTTTTTTTTTTAATTTTTAAAGATTGGCACCAGAGCTAACAACTGTTGCCAATCTTCTTTTTTTTTTTTCCTGCCTTTTTTTCTCCCCAAATCCCCTCAGTACATAGTTGTATATATATATATTTTTTTAGTTGTGGGTCTTTCTAATTGTGGCATGTGGGACGCCACCTCAACATAGCCTAGTGAGCAGCGCCATGTCCACGCCCAAGATCCGAACCCTGGGCCGCCAAAGCGGAGCGCGAGAACTTAACCACTCGGCCACGGGGCCGGCCCCTTCAATAGTTTTTAAGAGTGCCCTTGGAAAGGGGTCCCTGAGACCAAAAAGTTTGGGAACGGCTGCCTTGCATCATCCTAGGAAGTATTATTACCCCTGTTTTACAAATGAGGAAACTGAGGCACAGAGAGGTCAAATAACACCCAAGTCCAGGCAGCTGGTGAGTGCTAAAACCAGGGTCTGATCCATGCACAGCAACCCACTGAGGCGGACATATGATTTTTCCCGTCCTACAGGAAGGACAGGGAGGAACAGGGAGGACGTCAGATTCCTGTAGCTCCCGTAACAAATTGCCACAGACTTGTTGACTTAAAAGAACAGAAAGTTATTGTGACAGCTCTAGGGGCCAGAAGTCTCAAATCCAGGTGTGGGCAGGGCCATGCTCCCTCTGAGGGCTCCGGGGGGATCCTTCCTGCCTCTTCAGGCTGCTGGCTTCCTTAGCTGGTGGCCCCGTCGCTCCAGTCTCTGCCTCCGTCTCGCACACACGGCCTTCTCTTCTGTGTGGCTGTCTTCTCTGTGAGTCTTGTAAAAACGCTTGTCATTAGATTTAGAGCCCACCCACACAATCCAGGATGATCTCATCTCAGGATCCTTAACTTAAGCGCATCTGCAAAGACACGTTTTTCAAATAGGGTCACGTTCACAGGTTCTGGGGACTAAGTCGTGGACATAGCTTTTTTGGGGGAAGGAAGGGTGGCACCATTCAACCCACCACAGGAGGTTAAGTAACTTGCTCAAGGTCCCACAGCTGGGAGAGATGGAGCTGAACCCAGTGGGGGCCCGTGGGGAATGAAGGAATGAATAAAGAATGCCCTGACTGGGGTAGTGTTTCTCTCGAGGCAGCAAAGATGCACTGAGAGTCTGCTGGGAAGGGACAAGGATTGAGGAGCCACAGGGCCAGCCTGCAGCCAGAGCCTCCAGACCCGGGCAAGAAGGGGATGAGAGGGTAGAGGGGATGGAAATAACTTCAGGGAGGGGACAGGGACGCAGGGGTCTAAGGTGACCCCCAAATAGTGAACCCAAGTGCCTAGGAGAATGGGTACAATCTTCAGAAAAGGAGACAGAAGCAGTTGAGCCTAGTGGTTAAACTTCCAGAGCCTCTCTGAGTTCTAATCCTGGTGCAGTCACGGACCAGGGGGGTGACCTTGGGCAAGTCACATGACCACTCAGTGCCTCAGTTTCCCCATCTGTAAAATGAGATCACAGAGGGTAACTGTGATTATTAAATCAATCTATGTGCCAGCTACACAAAGTGCTATTGAAGAGCTAGCTTTTAGTATTAATATTAAAGAAACCTGGGGGAGCTATCCGGTCTGGGTGTACATGTAGCTGTCCAGTTGACAGCCAGAAATGTGGACCTGGAACTCAGGACTAGAGCAGTAGGTGTGATCAGACCTATATCGACATTCATTCATTCAATAAATATTTAGCTCTTAATATATTCCAAGGACTCTGCTAACCCTGTGGGCTATGGCAATATACAAGAGAGACGGGATTACTGCCCCCGTGGGAAACGGACATAAACAAATAAAACCGAAATAAACTAATTTCAGATGGAGCAAGAGAGGGTTGAGAAAAGGGAGGAGAATCAAGAAATTCGTGTGTCACAGAAACCAGGTGGTTAGTCAGTACTTTTCAATCACAGAAAGAGTCACAGATACCGTATCTTTTCACCTATAAATATTTTAATATGTATTTCTAAAACATATTGAGGGACCGGCCCCATGGCTGAGTGGTTAAGTTCGCACGCTCTGCTTCGGTGGCTCAGGGTTTCGCTGGTTCAGATCCTGGCCACAGACATGGCACCGCTCATTAGGCCATGCTGAGGCGGCATCCCACATGCTACAACTAGAAGGACCCACAACTAAAAATACACAACTATGTACCGGGGGGCTTTGGGGAGAAAAAGGAAAAAAAAATAAAATCTTTAAAACATATTGAAACTATATAGCCACAGTGCCATTATCAATTCGTGGCACTTACCAGTGCCATTATCAAAATTAATAATTTCTTCATATCAAATATCCAGTGTGTTCAAAGTGTCAATTGTCTCATCAATTTATTTTTTCACAGTTTGTTTAACTCAAGACTCAAAAATAATATCCACATATTGCAACTGGCTGACATGTTCCTTAGTCGCTTTTAATCCTTTATCTCTTTTTGCCTAGTCTTGAAATTTATTTGTTGATGAAACAGGATTCTTTGTCTTGTTGAGATTCCTAGTCTGGATTTTGCTACTTTCACCACTATAAAGCCCTTTAATATGTTTCTTCCCTATATTTTCTGTAAACCGGTACTTGGATCAAGAGATTTGATCTTATTTGAGTTCAGTTTATTTGGTGGCGGCGTGTTCTAGCATTTATTTTTGGAGGAAGGATTCATTTTTTATGTTTATTTAGATATAATCACATGAAATAATATTCATCCTTTTAATGTGTACAACTCAGTAGTTTTTAGTATATTCACAAGGTTGTGCAACCATCACCACTCTCTAATTTCAGAACATTTTCATTAACCGCCCTCCCCTCAAAACCTCGTACGCATTAGCTGGCACTCTCCATTCCCCATGCCTCCAGCCCCTGGCAGCCACTACTCTGCTTTCTGGGTCGATAGACTTGTCTACTCTGAACATTTCATATCGATGGAATCATATACAATATGACCTTTTGGGTCTGGCTTCTTTTACTTAGCATGACGTTTTCACGGTTTATCCACGTTGCAGGAGTACGTCCTTCCCTTTTACGGCTGAGTAATATTTCATTGTGTGGATGGACCACACTGTTTATCCATTCATCCATCGAGGAACTTTCGGGTTGATTCCACCTTCCCTGTTGTTTTGCCTGAGGTAAAAGCAGTACTTTTCTTCTGGAAGCTCAAATCCCTTGGTAGGAACCTTGACCTCATCACAGAACTCCTTGTTTCTGGGTGATGAACCAGGCTCCAGAAGAGGGCAGGAAGGAAAAGGGAAAAGAGCTTTACCCAGCCAGGAAGCTCACAGCCATTGAGGACCTCCTGTGTGACAGGCAGGGCCCCCGCCCACCCGCTTTCTGTCTATGGATTTGCCTATTCTGGGCATTTCAAATAAATGGAAACATACAATACATGAGGGAAGAAGACAAGGCCACAGGCATGTGTGTGAGGCCCCGGGGAAGGACAGCCTCTGCCTGTGTGTGAGTCAGCGGGCTGGGACTGGACTGGATGGGGCAAGCTGGGGAACGGTGGGAGATGAAGCTGAAGAGGGGACCAGCAATTGACTGTGGGGCCAAGTTCATGTTTGATGTGGTAGGTATGTTATATGGCCTCCGGCAAGTCCCTGAATCATTCTTTGTCTCAGTGTTTGCATCTGTAAAATGGGAGTAATCTGGATCATACCTCCCTCCAGGATTTTTGCGGGTATTAAGTGAGTTAAAACGTGTAAAGTGTTTGGAACAGAGGCTGGCACATTGTAGGAGCTGTATTCATGGTAGCTATCGCTATTATTGTTAGTGTTGTTGTTGTTACTGTTACATTTGCTGTTATTGTTACCACTGAAGCGTTTCATTTCAAACAATAACATCACGGATTCAACGCTGATGTCTGTCTGTGGCGTGAGGGGCTATGACAGGAATTAGAAGCTGGGGCAACCCAGACCCAGCAATTCTACCTCCAAAATCTCTCTCAAATTCTTCCACTTTTCTCGGCCTCTCTGCTACCACCCTCGCCCACCTTACTATGATTTCCGCTCCTGGAAGGCTACAGTAGGTTTCCAGCTGATTTATCCACTTCCTCTCTTCCTCCTTCTAATCTGTTTTCTACACAGCAGTCAGTAATCTTGATAAACACATGCATTTTATCACACCAGGTGTCAATGCCAAGTCACAATAAAACCCAAAGTCCTTACCATGGCCGACATGACTTTGATGGTCTGATCTGTGTCTACTGCTCCATCTTTGTCTCACTCCTGCGCACCTCACTCTCTAAGCGCCAGCCACCCTGCTACTCCTGTAGGTCTTCCGTGTACCATGCCAGACCAAAATCCCTGGGGAGAGCACCCACACGGCTGAGTTTGGCTCCCAGCCATGCCCTGGGATCGGGGAAAACAAGGATTTAGCTTTACAGCTTCTATAGAAGGAATAAAACTCTGCTTTCACTGGGAGCCACCCACGGACGGACAGCCCAGACTTAGAAAGGGAGTTCAAATGCTGAGCAGAAAACAACACGTGACCTGCTGAGGAGAGCATGCAAATACGGGCCAGAGCTGAACTGTCCAGAAACCACAGAAAGGGGATTGAAGGTTGCTCTTTCTCTGTCCGTTCCATGCACAGTGCTCAACCTCCACTCTCAACAAGCTGGAACCACTCTTTCAAGACTATGGGCTTGCTGAAATATTTATATATAAAATGATATAATGTCTATGAATCGCTTTAAAAGAACCCACTGGGAGGGTGGGATGGTTGGGAATATGGATGAAATGAACACTGGCCATTTTGTTAATAATTGTTGAAGCTGAGTGATGGGTATTAGGAAGTTCATTGTACTATTGTTCCTCTTTCTATAATATTAGAAAATTTTCATTTAAAAAATTAAAAAATAAAGACTGTGAACTTGAAGAAGTGGCAAAGTATTTACTTGCCTGGGATGACCACAAGTCTTGCTTCAACCATTTATAAGAGAAGAGAGATTCGATGCCGCTAACAGGAAGAGAAGATCTGGAGTGGGGCAAGAGCATGAGTGGGTTCTGCACCGCCCCCCCCCACCTCCCCCCCCCCGCCATGGGGCAGGAGGAAGAGCTGCGAGCAGAGGACAGGTGGCTCCTCCCTCTGCACGCCAGTTGGTCTGGGACGTGGCAGAGAGAAGCAGTGATTGCGTGGAAGGAGAAGTCACTGCTTCCTGGAAAATCAAGCCACAGGGGCCCGAGAAACCACATCAGGGCTTGAGAGGCAGCTCGGGGCCCTTGAGCATAGCTTCCCTGGACTGAATGTCTGTGTCCCCCAAATTCATATGCTGAAATCCTAACCCCTAATGTGACGGTGTTTGGAGGTGGGGCTCTGGGAGATGATTAAGTCAAGAGGGCAGAGCCCTTGTGCATGAGACTAGTGCTCTTACAAAAGAGCCCTGGAGGGGAGTGCATTCTTGCCCCTTCCACCGAGTGAGGACACATCACACAGACAGCCGTTTGTGAAGCAGGAAGAGGACCGTCATCAGACGGACTTCTGGCCTCCACAACTGTGAGGAACAAATTTCTGTTGTTTATAAAGGATGGTATTTTTGCGATAGCAGCCTGAGCTGACTAAGATAGGCTATTTTATGAGCACCCCTATTTTTCAGGAGTCTGAGCGTTCTCCTGCCCAGCTCTGCTCTCCTTGCCCTGTCCCTTGGGCTCCATCCCAGGGGCTAAAATCCTGAAATAGCCTCACACCCTCTCTACGACCCACGCCACCCTCCTGACTTCCCATGGTTGCTGTTGTGGCTTCTCATTCCTCCTACCCCTCCCCCTCTTCCCTCTTTTCCTTCTCCCCCCTCCCCCCACTCCTCCTTCATCTTTAATTTGACAGACTTGAGATGGTCATGGACGATTTTGATGTCCTCGTTGCATCTTTAAACACCAGAAGCGTCACACAAGACTCACAATCTGTTCTGCATTCATTCTGTTCAGTCATCCTCCCTCCAAGGGCACTGCATGGAAGACATGAGCAGGCTCCCGAAATCCTTCTTGGAAAACAGGAAGATCAAACCTTAGCAACAAAGATTCTTTAAACCGCACTGGGCACGCTCTCTGAATTTCAATGTCTGTTTCCACCTGAAGAGAGGTCACCTGTAAATGCTGGGTCTGTGTGGATTTTCCATTATAGTTACGTTAACCCGGTAGTGCGTCTCTGCTTCCAGGGTCTCAGCCGCTTCAATGGTTGGGCTCTGAATGAAAGAAAATGTTTAAAGAAAAATATTTAAAAAGTAAAAAATCACCCATTACTTTTGTATGGGTTTCTTGAAAAGCTTTGAGCTAATGCTTTTTTGGAGGCCACGATACAAGGGAAGCAGGCATGAGGGAAGGGAAGTGAGGCAGAGGAGGAGGCAGAGCTTGCGCCAGGGGAACAGCACCGAAGTTGGCCCGGCCGCACAAGAACACGCAGCTGGCTGCTCGGTCTTATGGGAAAGCCACTGACTCTCGGAAGTGTCCGTCAGCACGGAGGGGAGTGGGGTATGAGGGGGAAGCTGAGCCATTTATCTGCCTGCTCCTTCATGCCTCTCACTGGTCCTCCCCACGGGGCACTGACCTCCCCCCATTTACAGGCGGACCTGCTCTAGTCGGGATGGTCCTGGGCGCTGGGGCAGCCAACAGTCTTTGTCCTGCAGGCTTCTGAGACCATCAGAAATGTTAGGAGCTGAGGTGACTGTGGCACAGCACGGGGCTTTGCAGCCACGGATACAGCGTGAGCTGTGGCTGATGCTGTTCATGCCAGGAAACAAGGCAAGGATCCCAGGGTGGGTGGGGAGCGTGCAGGTGGGGTGAACAGATCTAGGTCTGCCATACCCATAATCAGACCATTTAAGAAATTATGTGTTCAGTAGACTTCCTCCCATCCCATTTCCACTCCCAGGTAACTACTGTTGATACTTTGGTCCATGCTCTTACTGATTTTTTCCTGAGAATATGCACATATATCTAAACATACACTTTTTTTTTGTAATGGAAGCATGACATACATATTAGTATGCAAAAAGCTTTTTTCACTTAATAATACCCTATAATCATCTTTCTATCCCAGCATACATAGCCCTTGCTCATTCTTTTTCTTTCAGTAGAGAACACCTGTCTCACTCTTTTAAGTGATTGCATAGTCTTCTGTTTTATGGATGTACTGTAATTTCCCTGATCCTTTCTCCCTTGGTAGACACTCACACTATCTCCTGGTTTGGGCTACTTTAAACAACGTTGCTGTGCAAATCGACACAATTTTTGGTCCTTTCAACTTCATGAGACGTGAGTGGCCAAAACACATTCCATCCTCCTCTGCCCAGCACCTCCATTGCTGCCTATACACGAGGCAGTAAGGAGGACGGCTGCTGGCCACCGCTCGTCCCAGTGGACAGCAAACCCCGACCGTGTGCGTGTGCTGGTAGCTCCGCGCTGCAGCCACACGTCTCTCTCCAATGCAGTTTTGCCTGGGCTGTTTTCTGAGTTTAATCCTTTCCACGATTTCCATTGTTCTTAGTGGGCTGGGGACGGGATCTAGCCCTCTTCATTATCCACATTTCAACCACACCAGCCGTTTTCACAGTTCTCAAACTCGACGAGGTCAGGACCCCCATACAATGCTGTTAGGAGTATAATTAATAAAACCACACTGGACAATGGGCAGCACCGACTAAATCTAAACACACCCCAGCCTTATGGCCCAGCAATTCCACTCCTAGGTTTGTACTCAACAGAAATGAGAAAAGAATGTCATAGCAGCTTTACTGAAAATCGTCCAAAACAGGAAATAAGCTACATGTAGTTCTTTTGGTCCAGCTTTGTTTACTCAGCATAACGTTTTAAGATTCAATCACGGGCCGGCCCAGTGGCGCAGTGGTTAAGTGTGCACGTTCCCCTTTAGCAGCCCGGGGTCGACCTCTTCGGATCTGGGGTGCGGACATGGCACCACTTGGCACGCCATGCTGTGGTAGGCGTCCCACATACAAAGTGGAGGAAGATGGGCATGGATGTGAGCTCAGGGCCAGTCTTCCTCAGCAAAAAGAGGAGTATTGGCAGCAGATGTTAGCTCAGGGCTAATGTTCCTCAAAAAAAAAGATTCATTCAAATTGTGTGTATAGATAGCTCATTCTTTTTATTGCTGAATAGTATTCCACTGTATGGATATACCACAATTTGTTTATCCACTCTCCTGTGGTTGGACATTTGGGTCATTTCCAGTTTTTGCTTAATTCTAATGCTGTGAACATTCGTGTACAGATCTTCGTACGGAAACATGTGTTCCTTTCTTTTGATTAAATACCTAGAACCAGAATATCTGGGTTGCACAGTAAGTGTCTGTTTAACTTTTCAAGAAACCACCAAACTGTTTTCCCAAGGGGTTGAGTCGTTTTACGCTCCCGCCAGCAGGGAGGAGGAAGAACGCGCTTGGGCGGGTCTAATTTCACCAGCGTCCCTGGCTGATTCTGCTGCTCATTCGAGAGTTTGCAAACCACTGGCTCAGAGGGTGACAGAATGGGGGGGCTTTTCCTTCGGTGGGGACATTGGAGCAGAGACCGAGAAAGTGAGGGAGTGAGCCACGAGGAAACGGGGCAAGAGGGAACCAGGCAGAGGGAAGGGGAAGTGCAGGGCCCCCCAATCAGGCGTGTGCCTGGTGGGGGGAGGGCCAGCAATCGGTCCATGGGGCTTGAGCAGAGCCGAGAAGGGAAGTGCACTAAGAAACAGAGAGGAGAGTGGGGCCAGATTATGAGGGGCCCCAGGGAAGGATAAGCTGTAGGTTTGATTCTCAATGAGCTTGGGAGCCTCTGTACGGTTTTTTGAGCAGAAGCATAACGTGATTTCATAGCTGAGGAAACCGAGGCTCAGAGAGGTCAATTAACTTACCACAGGTCACACAGTAAGTGGCTGAGCTGAGTTCAACCGATGTCTGTCCAAGGCCAGAGAGCAAGTTGTTGAGCTCTGTGCTCTCTTTGAGCTGGCTTTGGCATCAAATATATGCATTAAAAGCTGATGTTTGGGAGCCAGCCCGGTGGCACAGTGGTTAAGTGTGCACGTTCTACTTCGGTGGCCTGGGGTTTGCTGGTTCGGATCCCGGGTAAGGACATGGCACCGCTTGGCATTCATGCTGTGGTAGATGTCCCACGTATAAAGTAGAGGAAGATGGGCACAGATGTTAGCTCATGGCCAGTCTTCCTCAGCAAAAAAGAGGAGGATTGGCAGTAGTGAGCTCAGGGCTCATCTTCCTCAGGAAAAAAAAAAAAGCTGATGTTTGGAAGCTGTCAATGTCCTCCAGCCAAAGACCAGCAGGCACACACTGGGAGTTAATCCAGTTGGGTTCATCACTCATTACAGCGAGGGAGAAAGTGCCCCATGGGAACGGTGGGCATCGAAGTAGGAGGGTGTTGGGGGCCGGCCCGTGGCCAAGTGGTTAGGTTCACACACTCCGCTTGGGTGGCCTGGGGTTTTGCCAGTTTGGATGCTGGGTGTGGACATGGCACCGCTCATCAGGCCATGCTGAGTCTGCGTCCCACACAGCACAACCAGAGGCACTCACGACTAGAATCTACAATGATGTGCTGGGGGCTTTGGGGAGAAGAAGAAGAAAGAAAGAAAGAAAGAAGGTTGGCAACAGATATTAGCTCAGGTGCCAATCTTTTTTTTTTTTTTTTTAAAGAGGGTGTTGGGCGTTAGAAAGAGCCTGTTACAGGGTGGGCTTTGGTTGGGTGATTCTGGGGAGTTTAAGGATCTGGGAGTGTGTTCCAGAGCAGGTGCTGTCAGGAAGCAGGGGTAATTCTAGGACTGGGGCTCGGGATAGACCTCTTCTATACAGAGGACAGACCAGAGCCAGGCTGGAGCTGTCACTGGTGAAGAAGCAGCCGTCACTCGTCTTAGCAAGAGAGGGAGACGTTCAGTGTTTTGTGGACCACGCTCGTGTTTTGTCTCATTCCATCATGGTCACAGTGCCCTCGTCTGATGTCAATGTTCTGTGAAACTGCTATTTCAGTGGTAGAACCCCAAGGCCAGCTGGTAGTGCCAGGCCAGCAAACGGATGTCTGGGGCCGCCCTTCTCTTTCTCCACGCCGTGATAGTTGTTTGGTCTTCATGGTGGAAATACGGTCTAGGAAAAACAGAAGCTGAGTCCGGTGAGCTTCAGAACGCGATTGAATCTCAAAGCCACAGCCTCTCCTGGCTGTCCTTTCTGCCATCTTACCCGGCTGTGCTGAGCTGGCTGTTTCCGGACTATATCTCAGATGGTTGAAAACCCTTCCCTGTTAGTTTTAAACAGCTTTATTGAGATATAGTTCACATGCCATAAAATCCACGCACTTAAAGGGCACAATTCAGTGGCTCTTAGTATATCCACAGATACGTGCAATCACCACTACTATCTAGTCCTAGAACATTTTCATCGTTCTAAACAGAAACCCCATTAGCAGTCACTCCCCATTTCCTCCCTACTCCCACCACAGCCCGAGGTGACCACTAGTCTGCTCTCTGTCTCTATGGATTTTCCTGTTTGGACATTTCATATACATGGACTCATACAATATGCGGCCTTTTGGGACTGGCTTCTTTCACTTAGCACGATATTTTCAAGGTTCATCCATGTTATAGCAGTACACTATTCCTTTTTTATGGCTAAGTAATATTCCATTCTGCAGATGGACCACACTTTGTTTATCTGTTCATCCAATGGCAGACTTTTGGGTTGATTCCACCTTCCCCGTTGTTTTGCCTGAGGTCAAAGCAGTACTTTTTTTTTCTGGAAGCTCAAATCCCTTGGTAGGAGCCTTGAACTCACCACAGAACTCCTTGTTTCTGGGAGATGAACCAGGCTCAAGAAGAGGGCAGGAAGGAAAAGGGAAAAGGGCTTTACCCAGCCAGGAAGCTCACAGCCATTGAGGACCTCCTGTGTGACAGGTGGGGCTCCAGGACTGCAAAGGCAAATTAGGACAGAAGTCCCTGCCTCAAGAAGCTCATAGTCAATGAGCAGAGAGGGTACATCTGTTGTTTTGCCCGCTGAAATCCATCCCATTTTTCTGATTTCCCTCACGGGCACACCTCTCCCCTACTCGCTGGGTCCGGAGGAGGAAACCCGGATCTGACCAATCAGCACCGTCCAACACGCCTACTGGTTGGCTCAGGGCTGGGCGTTGGCCTCCAACACTCCAATGAGATTCCATGACACTTTTTCTGGACCTTTTGAAAAAGGTAAGTTTTTGTTTTGGTTGGTTGTATTTTTCCTATTGGGTTGCTGAGAAAATAGGCTGAAAGCCTGGGCTGCTAATGGCCGTCTAGCGTTTGTCTGAGGAGAGCCAGCCTGAGTGAAAAGGCAACAGGGAGAAGGGCAGGACCAAGAGGCAGGAGAGCAAAGCACGGCTTGGGATGTCATTTGAGCAACTGGATCAAGCTGTGCCTGAGTTTTTGCTCCCTCTAGGTTTTTTAGCTACATGAACCAACACTCTTTAAGAATTTAAAAAAATGGATTGTGGTGATGGCTGCCCAACTCTGTGAATATAACTAAAACCATCAAATTGTACACTTTAAATGGGTGAATTGTGTGGTATACAAACTATATCTGAAGAATAAAAAAATAAAATAGCACCAGAGAAGGACTATGAATGAACTACACACAGGGTTTTGTTAGAACCCAGAATAAGAGCAGCTGACTTAGTCTGCAGAGTGGGGCAGGCACGCCGCCTTCCCGAGATGTTGCTCCGCTTTACAGGTGAAGAACGGAAGTCTCTCCCAGAAAGGAACTGAGTATGATGATCCTCTAAATGAGTGACAGTGCTAACAATTAAAGTAGTTAGTACTTTCCAGACCATGACCTAGTCTTTGAAAACACAGTCTCTCCTTATGCACTGTCCAAATGTCTAAACCATGACACCAATTAATTGACCTAAATGATTTCAAACTTATATATAGCATTGAGCCTGCTTATCACGAGTGGCTCCGAACAGACATGGGGAAGTCTCTGTAGTTGTAACACCTCTTGCTTTGGATTTCCAGAGTTTGTCAAAATTCTTCCACAACTCAAACTGGCCTAAGCAAAAACGCAACATAAATAAGAAATCTCAGATTTGGATTTCAGGCACAGCTGGATCCAGGGGCTCAGCAATGTCATCTGACTGCTGTAGTACTCTTCCCCTCAGCTCTGGGTTTGCACAATGCTCACATCACTCTCGTGCAGGCTCTCTACACATGGTGGCAACACTGGCCTCCAGGACCTCCAGGATTATGTTCTACCAGTTCAATAACCTCAGAAAATTCAATGAATTTTTGTTGCACATCACTGGCTCAACTTGGGACACATCACCCTGGACCAATCACTGTACTTAGGGAGACAGAAGTTGCTGATTGGTCAGGCTTAGAGCCAGAGAGTGGGGACACTCCACCTGAGCGGCATGGGATAAGATAAGAGGGAGGGGAATCCTCAGTGGACAAGTAGGGTGTTCTTACAGAGCTGAGAATGGATGTTGAGCAGACCACAAAAGTCAATATTTAGTTTGGGACCAGGAAGCTGGTAGCGCTCGCTCACACTCTAGAATGTGGCCATCTAAAAAGCTGATATTAAAAACTTTCTCTTTTTTAATATTTTAGTTTCATCTTCATGATCTGGACTATCCTTTTCTTTTCACATAATTACCCAAATCTTTCTTTAAGCATTGTTCCTCCCTCTTCTCTGATATCCTCACCAGTGGATCTCTCATCAGGAATGGCCTCCTTCTGTGCTCCAGCCTGTAATTAATTACTTCCAAGTATTGTTCCCTGTGTGCACACAGAGCCCATCACAGGAGCCCAGGGTCATGTGACCCAGCCTTCACTTTCAGCAACAGCCTCACATTTATGCTTTTCTTTCTTCTTCTTCTTCTTCTTCTTTTTTTTTTGCAGGGGAAGATTTGCCCTATGCTAATGTCTGTGCCAATCTTCCTCTTTTTTTCTTCCCTGCCTAGGCCCCAGTATATAGTTGTATATTCTAGTTGTAAGTCCTTCTAGTTCTTCTAAGTGAGCCGCTGCCATAGCATGGCTACTGACAGATGAGTGGTGTGGTTCCTCACCCGGGAACCAAACCTGGGCCACCAAAGCGGAGTGCGCCAAACTTTAACCACTAGGCCATCAGGGCTGGCTCTACACTTTTCAACTTTAAAGATTCTAATTTCACTTTTGGTTTATAGTCCAGGACAGGAGTTTGTAACAGTCAGAAAATGGAACCCACTCTAGATCTTTCCAAGAGAAAGGTTTTAATCAAGAAATCGGTTAAACGAGTACATTAGTTATCTATAGCTGTGAAAAGTCACCCTAAAATTTAGTGGCTTAAAACAACAGTAACCGTTATCTTTCATGGTTTCTGCAGGGCTGGAATTCGGGAGCAGCTTGGTTGAGCGATTCTGATACAGGGTCTCTCACGAGCTTGGCGTCAAGATACTGCAGGGGCTGCAGGCATCTGCAGCTTACCTGAGGCTGGAGGAGCCACCTCCAAGATGCTGGTGGGAGGCCTCAGTTTCTCTCCGTGTGGGCCTGTCCCAGGGCTGCTCAAGCATCCTGGTGACGTGATGGCTGGCTACTCCCAGAGGAAGAAGATAGAAGCAACGATGCCTTTTACGACCTACCTTCAGAAGTCACACACCATCACATCTGCCATATTCTCTTAGACAGAAGTGAGTCCCTAAGCCAGTTCTGCCTCCCAATCCAGGAGAGGGGAGGTACGGAGGAGGGTCAAAGAATTTGTGGATATATTTTGAAACCAAACAACAGGTGATGATAGAGCTGAAGAGCCAAACAAGGGATACAACCTGTAGATTAACAATAGCAGGAAGACACTGACCCACTCAGGACCGGAGGAACAAGTGAGGAAGGGGGCTACCAGAGCCCAGGAGCCAGGACCACCCAGTGGAAACGGGAACTTTGGAGGAGCTGGAGGCTTGAAGATGGAGTCACTGACAGAGATGCTCCCCAGAGCAGAGAGGGAGACAAACAGTCGGCTTCTTCCTTCCTCTGCTCCCCAAGCTTCCGTCATCGCCTGCAACAGCCGGACCCACCAGGAAGCAGAGCGCGAGGGAGCCTGGAAAATGTAGTTTCTCGTGATGCAGAGGTGAACAGAGAGGGCTGGGATGGGTCTGAGATCAAGTGGGTAAAGACTAGCACGGAGCCCCGCAAATGGCTGATTTGATTAGGTGTTGATATTGTGGTTAAATTTGTCTTGAATTCTGATTATTTTTATATATCAATATTGTTCTCAATAAAATGACATCTTAAAACTGAAAATGAAAAAGAAAAGAATAATGAAAGAAATTTCTCCAGTCTCCTTTAATCTTCCTTAATGTTAAAAGACTTCTGTGGGGCCAGAGTGAAGGGGCATTAATATCCAGGCAGCAGAAAGCTGCTCCAGCCTTTCCCGGAAATGGCCTTTTGCTATTCTTTTTAAAACTGGCCAGCATTTGAGGACTGACTGATGTAACTGATAGAAACCCCTCCTCCATTTCGAACTGGGTTTCCTAGTCCCGGCCACGAGTGTCTGATTCCAGGTAGAAATGATTTATTTTGTCTACTCTAGGTCTACACCCAAGAGAACTGAAAACATGTCCATACAAAAACGCGGGTGTAAAAGCTCACAGCAGGGGGCTGGCCCCATGGCCGAGTGGTTAAGCTCACGCGCTCCACTGCAGGCGGCCCAGTGTTTCGTTGGTTCGAATCCTGGGTGCGGACATGGCACTGCTCGTCAAACCACGCTGAGGCAGCGTCCCACATGCCACAACTAGAAGGACCCACAACAAAGAATATACAACTATGTACCGAGGGGCTTTGGGGAGAAAAAGGAAAAAAATAAAATCTTTAAAAAAAAAAAAAGTTCACAGCAGCGTTCTTCACAAGAGGCAAAAAGCAGAAACAACCCAGATGCCCATCAACGGATGAAGGGACAAACCAAATGTGGTCTCTCTGTATAATGCAATATTATTCAGCCAGAGAAAGGAATGAGGCACTGACACATTACAACACAGAAGAAGCCTGAAAACATTGTGCTAAGTGAAAGACGCTGGTCACTAAAGGTCACAGATTGTATGATTCCATCTCAAATCCATAGAGACAGAAAGTAGATTAGTGGGTGCCAGGGGCTGGGGGAGGGGGAATGGAGAGCAACTGCTAATGTGTACGGGGTTTCTTTTTGGGGTGATGAAATGTTTTGGAATTAGATAGTGATGATGGTTGAACAACTCTGTGAATATGCTAAAAACCACTCAACCGTATACTTTAAAAGGGTGAATTTTACGGTATGTGAAAAGGAAGGAAGGAAGGAAGGAAGGGAGGACCCATTTTTTGTTGTACCTGACTGACCACTGATCACCATCTGGTGGGTTCTGGACCAGATCTGAGTTGAGAGGTTCGTTCATCATCCATCAAATATTTATTGAGCACTCACTATGGGCCAGCTGCTTGTTACGTTGGATGTATTTGTGCACAGCATGGCACACGAGCTCATGCCAAGCTGTGCTGAGGACCATAAAAGTGCACGTTTACTGTGGGTGAGCTGGCATCTCCTGAGAGCCTCTGGTTCTGTGATTTGTCTTCAGATCCTGAAATCACGTTGAAAGACACCTGATGAGTAATTATGACAACGATGCTAAAAAGTATAAAGTAGTTGATAGTGATTATTTTACAGTACTATAATGAAAGTTACTTTTGTTTCTTTTCTAATTTTTAGATAGCACAGTTAATTTATAATATCAAAAATACATTTACAGATGACTTCTGGCTGCATCTTTGGTTTGGCCACCAGTGTGTTTTCAAACATTGGAGGGGAATGTATTTAGGCACAGCATCTATGCTCCAGTTTGCCACAGTCCTCCCCACTCCCTATTGCCTTAAGCTGGTGCCATCTCTCATTCATATAAGCTGCCTGATCCCTCAAGGCATTTGAAATTTGGGTCCCCTGATTTATATAATAAAACCCCCACAACATACAATTCATTGTGGCCCACTGAGATGCTAAATGTCCACATTTTAAATCCCTGATAAGTGGAGTTAGAATATTATTTAATCAGCTTGAAAATGAAAATTAACATTTATTTTCTAGATAAAAATAGAATTGTTCCTGGCACTTTTCTACAGAGTTCAGTTCAGTTTAATAGTAAACCTCTGAAGGCATTAGAAGGAGGAAGAGATTTAATACAGGGAAACAGGGCCTTATAAATGGCTTGGTGAGGCTGGAGGAGCAGGCTCCAGGCTGGGCCCCCCTCCAGTGATGACTCCAGGAATAACACTACAGAACTGAGCTGCGGGGAGAAGCAGGGCCTTTGCCACAGTCCGGAAGGTGGGGAACCAGGGGACCATTACTAGAACGCTTGAGTTCAATAACACGTCATAGCCAGGAAGCTTCCACTGTAGCTGCACCTGTTTCTTGACACCTGAAGCAGGGAGACTGGACACTGAGGCGCTACTGCCCCCTATTGCCTGATGATCTTCCAAGAAATAAGGCCTCTAGTGTGCACAGCACATTCACATGCATGGTGTCATCTGACCCTCATGATCACTTTACCAGATAAGCAAGGAATGTGGTGTCACCCCCTCTTGACAGATAAGGAAAGTGAAGCTCAGAGAGGTGATGGAACATACTTAAGGTCACACAGTGCAGAACTGGTAACAACATGTCTCCTCAGTCCCATGCCAGTTCAATGCATTTGACATGTCAACTGAGGTCATGGCATGTCATGAGCGAGGTCTTTTGCGGTTCTATGGTAGGTCCTGAGAGCACAGCATATATATGCCAAGTACCTCGTGAATGACACATACTGGTAAACAACTATAACTCAGTAGGTGCAAATCTGCCTTGTAAGCACAGACGAAGGGACTAGTATCTACCAGCAGGTCTAGGAACATTTCAGAGAACAGGCGACATCTGAGTAGGGTTTTGAGGGATAAGCAGGAGTGTACTAGGAAGCAAAGGGTGGAAAAAAATTTTCCTAGTAGCTGGCAAGAGCTAAGTGAGTGGGAGGTGGCACCAAGACTTTGAGGAGCCGAGAGAATTTTAATTTTGGAGGATGTAGACAAGGTAAAAATTTTGTGGTAGTGGTATTACACACATACGGTAAAATAAGGTGCATTAGCCTTAAGTATACAGCTTCTCGACTTTTTAAAAAAGCATATGTAAACACTCAAGTACTCATCATTCAGGTGGAGATATAAAACATTTCCAACATCCCAGGAGAACATCCCTCGTGCCCCTTTTCAATCTCTACCCACCTCCTTCCTTCCGCTGTCGGTTTTTGCGGGGTCAGGGGAGGCCAGCATAAAAATCTCAAAGCCCTTGGCTGCAGCCCCCATCTCAAATTCCCTCCACGCCTATTGCTGCCTCCAAATCTTTCGCACCTTCTTTGGACAACCCTAAGAGGGCATTGCCCCGGGCGCGTTGGTTTCTCGATACCCACACTTTCTCGTGTGGCCCACGTGAAATTTAGGTTGCGCGCGAAAAGGGAGGGAGGTGGGGACGACGGCTTTTGGTCCTTCGGAGCCACCGTCCAGGTCGGGCCGCGCGGAGCCGCCATGTCCCTCGCCGGCCGCCGTGCGTCCGTTACGTGGCAGCTGCCGGCGCCCGCCAATCCACGGCGCCCGCATCAGCCCCCGCGGGCGGCGCAGCCGGAAGGGGCGGAGCGCAGGCGGCGGCGGCTGAGGCGGCAGCGGTGGCGGCGGCGGCGGCTCTGGAGGCCGCAGTCCCGGTCGCGGCTTCGGCGCCAGCCCCACCATGGTGACGCTCGCTGAGCTGCTGGTGCTCCTGGCCGCGCTCCTGGCCACGGCCTCGGGCTACTTCGTCAGCATCGACGCGCACGCCGAGGAGTGCTTCTTCGAGCGGGTCACCTCGGGCACCAAGATGGGCCTCATCTTCGAGGTGGCCGAGGGCGGCTTCCTGGACATCGACGTGGAGGTGCGGGCGCGCTGCCCGCGGCCGAGGCGGGGTCGCGCGGGGCCCGCCCGGGGTCTGCGGGGCCGCGGCGTGGGGGCCGCTCGCCGGGGTCTCTGCGGCCCGCCGGGACTCCGCGCCTCCCTCGGGCCGGAGCCTCGGCTTGGTCGCTGTGGGTTCCCAGCCTGAGCGGCGGGTCCCCCCGGACCCCCTCGCCGAGCTTTGTCGCCAGGCGCCGCGGGTCAGCCCCGCGCCTCTCGGGGGTTGGCTGGTGGCCGTCTGGGTGCGCCCGGCGGCCGCCTTCCTTCATGTGACGGGTTAATGTTGGAACGTGGCGTGGAAACTTTGGGAAGAGTAAATCGAAAGCTGTTGGAGAGCGCTCGCAGACGTTCGCGCGCTGTTTCTCTTTACTTCGCATAGAAACGACCTGAGTGTTTGGCTCGTTTTTACGCAAACCTCCAGATATCTGGCTTGGCCATCTCTGAGTAGGAGAGGGTGGAGTTGCGTCCTGCATTTTGGGAGGAATGGTTGCAGCGAAGGATCTGGAGGAAATGGGAAATTATTTTAAGAAACCCGCCGTCCCTGAATTTCCTCCTGTGTCTTTCTTTAAAGCGAAAGAATGATTCGCCTCTAACTTTTTTTAGGAAGCCAGATGTAACTAATACTTAAAATTCGTCTGTAAGCATGATTTAATTGGGTTTAAGAATTTTATTCCATTTGGCAGGGAACATCAACAGAGTTGGGCACTAATTACGCCATACAAGTGAAGTCCAGAATTAAGAGGATAATGGGAGGATTTATTGTGAAAATTAGCTAAGACCTTAGAGATCAGCTGTTCCAGTCTGGAAGTTTTACGGGTGGCGGGGGCCTCATGAAAGGAACTGACTTGAGCACCGCCGAACAGCAGATTTTAGCGGACTGGGATGAGAACATGCCTCTCCTAGTTTCCAGTCTAGTCTTTTCCCTTAAGCATCTCAGATAAGCCTATTCCTTCGTGATTGGCAGTAATCAATCAGGAAAACCTAGAAATGTAGCTTGCTCAGAATTCTTAGTTTTAAAGAGATTTCTGTTTTTCTTGTTTTAACAGCTACGTGTTTGCATGTTTGTTAGTGGACTAGGCCACTTGGAATGTGGAGGTGCGGTTTCTGTTTCTGAGGGGTTTACGTTTAAATCGGACAAAGAAGACAAATGTCAGAGTTGAGAAGTGTTGAGAGAGCCTTGTTTAATAAGTGAGAGAACTGCACCTGAAGAGGTTACTGTCACTGACTGAAGGGAAACTAAGTGAAAATTACATTTTCTTAGCAAATATCCTACCGCTGATAGACATTGCTCACGTAGTTTATGGTTTTAAATCTTTCGTGATATCTCATGCATTTCTCTCGCCTCCAGATTACAGGGCCTGATAATAAAGGAATTTATAAAGGAGACCGGGAGTCCAGTGGGAAATACACCTTTGCTGCTCACATGGACGGAACATATAAGTTTTGTTTTAGTAATAGGATGTCCACCATGACTCCAAAGATAGTGATGTTCACCATTGATATTGGGGAGGCCCCGAAAGGACAAGACATGGAAACAGAAGGTGAGATGAACGTTCGGAAGGTTTATATCATATTCCAGGAATTAATATTCTTTTATTTTATCCATCTAAATGGAGTATTTATTTTGATTTCTTATTCTAGGTTCATTCACTGTCTTTACAACCAAAAACCTTTTGTGTAATATACTTTTTGCTTACTCAAATCTCCTAATTAACAAAAAGAAGTTTCTGGAATTTCATGTTAAAATTTTAGTTCTTTACAATTGCCCCTTCTGGCAGCTTTTCTTAGTCACTTTGTGCTCTTGTAGGCATGTGGGTTACGTGTCCTAAGTGGTTTGTTTGGTTAATCCTGCTGTATACGTCTTTATTTGCTCATCTGTTTACATGACTAGTTTAGCTAAACTTTCTGTTTTATTTTTTTGTGTGTTTATATCTTACACTTTCTTTAGGTGGTGGAGATACCTGGGATGGTACGTGGATTGCTTTTTGACAGCATCCTATCTTTCCGCGTATTTTGTTTGCTGCTGTCTAATTTCTGCTTTCCTTCCTTCTAACCTCAGTTTGTTAGCATGAGAGTGTTTTTTCTCTTAATTAAAAACCCTACAACTAATTAGAGTTTTAGAGTGATTGTTTTTTGGCGGTTTTTATTTGGTTGACAGGAGATACAGGTTAGGTGATTTTAAATTAATAGCAGTGGGAACACAGTGACTGACACTTTAGTAGTAATATCATACTTTGTTTTAAATGAATAGTGAAGGGTGGAAAGATTCAGCTACACTGGACAAGTGAAAGTCTTAATTAAACATACCTAATAGCACGTGGTGCCGTTGACTTTGTAGGAAGTATTTTGTAGGCTTGTTTTACCATAATTAGAGTTTTCTAACTTGAAACTTGGTTGGATCTAAAATGCAGTTGTAGGAACCGTGTCTAGAATGTGGTGACAAAAGCTCTGTCAGCCGGATGTTGCAGTTAGCTTGGTATTTATTCCTCAACTGACGAGTAATGAACCCTAAATTGATTCTTCTGGGTAAATTGCTTACCAGGAGCCAGCACATTTGGAATTTTTTTTTTTTGGGGCCACAGCGCATGTCAGGATTTTTGGAGATTAGCAGTTCAGCACATTTCGTAGTATTAACATGATATCACTTGTCCTAGATAGTGAGCAATTAGTAGAGTATGTACGTCATAAAGGAGGTGAAGTGTTTGTTAGGTTTTGAAATCTGTAGAATCATACTGTTTAGTAATTCCTGCATTTGCTTTTCAGGGCCATTTACAGTGTAGGACTTGGCTAATTCTCAAGCAGAATTAGGAGTTTTGAAGGGCTTTGTCTTTGTTCATTTTCTGGAAATTAGTCTTTTCTAAATTGTTAGAAAATATTGGCTGGTGAGCTATAATGAATGCTGAATATTGAATTCGTCTTAAATAATCCTTTAATGCCATATCTGAAATTCTTGCATTTGCTTGTTAATGTCAGCCAGTGGCAGCTGTCAAATCAAGCCTACCTCTAAAGCAGTGGTTCTCAATTGAGGACGATTCTTGCCCCCGGGGGACGTTTGACAACACCTGGAGACATTTTTGATTCTTATGGCGGGTGAATGATCCTACGGTGCATTGGACAGCTCCCCACAACAAAGAACTGTCTGGTCCAAAATGTCAACAGTGCTGCTCCTGAGAAACCCCGCTCTGAAGGTTCCATGTTGTGCATGGACTTGCGAAGTGAAGCTAGCGAGGGATGATTTGAGATTCTAGCCCAACTACCTTGAAATGGTAGGGGCCTTTGGCTTCTCTTAAGAAATTTAGGGTTAGCAGTGGCAATTTGGAATTCCAGATGAGGCCCGATCTTGGGCAGTGACAAAGAGACCCCTGCAATGGGAGTCTTCCCTTGTGGTGTGTTTTTTCGTACCGGTCTGCTCATTGTCATAATATAGCACTACCTAGAGGCAGACACTTATTGTTCAGAACTCTTAGTTCACCCTCTGTTCGTTTTTTTGCTGAAGAGAATACTTGGTTTTAAACCTTGTGCAGCTGAGAGCTTGTCTCTTCACTTGCAATGCCTGCTAGTCCCCACTGTGTGAAAGTATTGCTTTGTCTCTCATAGAAGGTTTGAGTTGGTGTGGATTTTCCCAAGAATGTCATGTTTTTCTCTGCTCAGCTTCTTAGAGATTAAAAGTCTGTTTTGATATTGCTCCTAAATTAACGTTAGAGTTGTATGACTTTTAAGGTAGATTTTGATTTTAGTTTAGATATTGTTGTAGGGTGTTATTAGGCTTTTCATTTGTTTTATATTTCGTGCTCTCTTTCCCCCTCAGTCTTTTCCCTCCGCTCTGGTTGGTGGCCAGTGTGGTGAACTTCACTTAGCACTTCATTAAAGGAACTTCTTAGGGTTAATTGTTTTCCTTTAGTTACATTGCATAGTATGTTTTCTGCCCTGAAAGAGATTTCTCTACTAGGAATGGACTTTAAAGAGTGCTTTGAGGATTAAATTGTCATCAGTGGTCCAAAATGATGCCTGAGCCATTTCTAAAAATAGCTTCTTTTGTGTGCCTTCTCTGAAGAATATTTGTATTGCTTTATCAATAGTTTTCAAAGAGAGAGTGCCAAATATGTGCTAATCTGTTTTCAAATCCTTCTGTAGCTCACCAGAACAAGCTAGAAGAAATGATTAATGAGCTAGCAGTGGCGATGACAGCTGTAAAGCATGAACAGGAGTACATGGAAGTTCGAGAGAGAATACACAGAGCAAGTAAGTTAACGCTCGAACTTTGCAGCAGTGTCTGGTGGCCACGACATGGCGCAGGCGTGTTACCCGAGAGCTTGCTTGTGTTTTCCTCTTTGGGAAATTTTGCAAACGTAACCATACTAAAGCACTCACTTAAAAAAAGCACCTACGCAGAGATTGAGTCTGCGTGTTTGTAGAGCTGTGTGCTAGACTTGTTTGCTGTTGGATATTCATTCTAAACCACAAAATGCTGTGAAGATTGACAAGCTTTTAAGAGTTTTTAAAAATGTGTGGTCAGGTAAGGAATAAGCCAATGGTTTTCTTAAAGCAGAAAGGAAAAACATGGTCAAATGGATGTTGCATTGGTTTTAAGTCACATGTCTGGCACTTTTGTGGCAGTGTG